AGTTGAATTCTGAGAATCATCAATTTCAAAACTATTTTCTAGTTCTTTTAGCCACACATCGTCACCGTATCTATTCCTTTTATATTTAAAATGTTTGTTGAATTTAAATACATGCGCTACTGTCTTCTATAATCCGATCTAAAAGTAAAACACTTATCCCGGTATAAAATTTGTCACAGTCCTGTATCGCTGTTCCAAGCCGGGTGTTACAGGTGTAACAACCAACATATTCTTAAGGATAATCACAAAACTATGTCCACTTGGACCTGAATATATTATGGATTTTGTTTTGTATTTGGTTTACCTTTTATGGTGCTAAAATTAATTCAATTTAAAAATGATAAGACAGTTAAAAATCCCGATTAAGTAATTTATTTTGACAATGGACGGGTGGGTATAGCCTAAAAACGAAAAAAAAAATAATATTGAAGAGTTTTTACTCACCGAAAACTTATACCTATACTTCATGTACAACAGTACCTATAGTTTATTCGACTCATACCAATGATGATAGTATTAATAATGATAAGAATAATAATAAGAGAGACAAAACTTCACGAAGTGACGTAGACGCTAAGTTTTCATTACACATTAAAATTTTTTTTTCTTTAAAATTATTTTACTAGGCCATCTGTTACATATTTGAACAATAAGCTTAAAATATGGTAATAAATAAAAATAAAATATTACATGGAATTACGGAGCGCAGAAGCCTCCCAGTGGAGGTAAGTAGGTACCTTTTTAATTGTAGAATAATATAATAAAATAACGGTCATTCGCCGTATTGTCGTAATATGGGAGAAATGAATACAATATTATTACCTACGTAAATAATTATATTACTAATAACCAGGACTCGTGAGTTCAAGCATTTGCATGTTTTTCTTACAACACAGGAACACATGCTAACAGAGATACAAATTACATGACAATAGTAATAAATATATAAAGTTTAATAGTGCATGTTTTTGCATATTTCGAGTGTAAAGGCATGTTTGGCATATAGTAGATTTTTAGACTTATAAAAAAATATGATTAGTAAATAAATATTTGAATTTTTTTTATTTTTTATTCACTTTTCAATTTACAAAATTGTAGGATTTTTTTCGATTTTTTTTTATGACCATTATATAATAACACACAGATTTAATAATAATAACGTAATAATGACAACTAAGTGTTAATCTGTAAAGTTAGGGTTTTGAGTGCATAAAACGTATACAAATTATAAGAAATTAAATTCTTATCAAAAAAATGGATATATTTTATTATTTAAAAATTTGCCTATGATTTTCTTATACCATGCATATTTGAGGTGCATAATCTAAAAATCTTGGTGCATATAAATGCATATTTCTGAATTTTTAGTGCATATTTTAATGCATATTTTGCCAATATGTAGCGCATGAATGAATGCTAATTTATGCATTGTTTAATGCATGAACTTATACGAGCCCTGCTAATAATAAACACTGACCAGATATGAATTATAGAACATATCTACCCACATTACTTCAGGGGTTTCGGAAAACAAAACCTCATATCACTGTTTGACACTCCAAGCCTTGGGGAATGGGGTTCGTCTACTCCATGTTGGGACTTAATCAACCATAAAGGTTTAGACTTGGTTACAAGCGAATATCATTTTTTTCGTGGGCGATGTATATCTCAGCGTCCAAGAAAACCATCATGAGGTCAAGGACAGTATCAGAAGGAGAAGAAATATTTATTAAGGCAATTGATGAACATTAGACCGATGGAAAAATTAAACCGTTTTTATGTCATAATAAAACAATAGTTATACATTATAATATAAAGAAAATATGTGTTGAATGTATTAATTTCAATACGCGAGAACTCGTTCTGATTTGAACGTTACAATTATAAATTGTTCCAAGATGAAATTAGATATTATATGTTTGTAAGTTGGACTATTGGCAAAAAAATATGTCATAAACATGATGATAATATTATGACGGAGTTTAATTGTCTGTCATTAGTTAGGTTAGGGAATAAGGCAAGTCGACAATTGAAAATGTTGCAGGATATTTCAAAAATAAAATATATAAGTACTCAATTAATATTTTCTAATTTTTACATACGCGTAATTCTCATAATTTATATGCTCTGCAGTCTGCACATTAGCAAAACGATGACAAGAGTTTTGTTAAATTAATACATTTTGCAGGCCAACTATTTTGTATATCTCGTATACAAAATATATATTTGTTTAACTTTTGCAAAAATACTAAAAACGTATCACATATTATAAAATGTTTATAAAAAAAACTTGCAAAACTATATAATAATATAATATAAACATACATTTGTTTACTATGAAATATAATTTTCGAAACTAATAACAGTAAATCTTTAAAGTTTAAAACATATTTCACATTGTCAACGTGATTTGAACAGCGTTAATTATTGTGTTTATAATTAATAAGTTTTTCTATAAATATGCAAGAAAGTTCAACCAATAATAATAATAATAATGATAATAATAGTAATAATAATAGTGTATTTAAATATCCAATAGCATACCTATTATTTGAACCGATGACGCTATAAATCATTAACAACTGCTCCTACACAATCTCCGTAATGGCTTTTGGATAACTAATAAAAAGAACAAAATATTTTTAAATTTTAGATACAGAATTATACCAACTTCCACATGGGTTAAACGCAGATGACAGAATGATTCATTGTGAACTTATATTTTCTAAAGCCTATGCCGGGTTACGTAATAAATTGAAATAGATATATACTGCAACTGTCAGGTTAAAAATAGCGGGATGTGAACAACGAACTCGAATTACTGAGTGTATTGACGGAAATCCTACGTCACAGTTGGCGGTCTCGTTGTCTGAGAAAATAATGTTCTAAAATTCGGATCAAAAGTATATGGCATTGGTTTGGTTCGAAGAATCGAATTTTTTTTAGAATCGTCCATCAAATTGTAGTTTTTCTACTGAATATAGTTAAATATTTCCATAACAGTATGACGTCAATATCAAGAGACAACTTAATATCTATAGACACATTTTCTAGTGGAAAAAATGCTCTGATCTTTATCTTTTTTCAGCAAATTAGATATAATTGGTACTTTGTGAAAGTCAAAATTAAAAATTCTCAATATTTTTTTTAAATAATTGATAAAGACAAAAAATGAATGCTAGCATTTGATAAAATTGTAATGTAAAATAATAAATTGTTTAGTAACATTTGTCACCAAAAAATAAGATGGTATACACGCATAGACTAAACAATTTGATGATTTAAAAATGTAATACATGATTTCTTATTTTGTGAATACTGAAAAAAAAAAATAATAATTTCCTAAAATATACTTTGTATAGGCAGACTGTCTTCTGAATCGTTTTTCGTATGCAATGGTTTATCGTTGAACTCAAATTTAACACATATATTACTATAAATTACTCAATGACAAGATACACCGACACCTACTGAACATACTTCCCAACTTCTTTTAAAAAAATTGCCACATTGTATAAACTTTATTATTTAATTTTCTTTAAGGTTGATTTTTAACTAACAGTTTGTTTGTGTTTGTAGTTCAAGTTAGTTTTCTTAAAGATTATATTATGTGCACTCATCGAAAAAACAGCATTGAATCAATATTAGAAGATTGAAATACCAAAAATGGAATATCAATAAAAGTGAATAATAATTGAAAGTTCGATTATAAAATAGTTTGTCATCGAAGATTTTTGAAGAAGATTAATTGCTTTGTTTTATCTTCGTGGTTCCAATAAATTAATTAACCATATGAGTAATAATATTGCTTTATCATCTTTTATAATATTTTGAATTTTTCAAGGCGATAGCAAAAATACCATCAATATTCAATATGATGTATGACTTGTATATTATTATTTGTTATAAGACAAAATATTATTATAAATATTATAATGTTTCAATATTAACAATACCACAAAGTTAAAAATATGTTCTACGTAAACAATAAAACTTAATAAACAAATAACAAAACATGATTTTACTCTTTTTAGCAAGCTTTATACAATACACCGCACACAATGTATACAAATATTGTCATAATCTTATTAAAGCGTAATATTTTATATTTACGTTTAATAATTATAATATACTTACTTAAAATTATATTGTTTATCTTGTATTTGTAATTGTATAAGGTAATTAAACGTTGTATGACATAGTATAATAGACGATTTAATTACCTAACTTACCATTCAGCAAATATTGTATAAATTAATTTTCTGTATACTTTTCTAATATGGTAAAAGATGGTGGGTTTTTTGTATTTTAAATAAGACATGATTCAATGTTAAAACTTAATATTAGATTATCTGTGATATATTTGTTTTGTGGAACAAAAGAGTGGTTTCTACTAGTTATATTGAGTTTCAAAATGTACTTGTATTGCATACATACAACTAAACCGCTTAAATGAATATCAAAGTTGAAGATTAATGTTTCGTTAGAAGTTTTCATAATTATATATCAAACTCAAAGGCGTCTGATTGCTAAAACCGTTTATTGTGAACGCAAAAGGGATTCTTGAATTTATTGTCATAAAATGCTTATGAAATAAAAAGACAAAACAGAAGTATAAAAAAAAAACAAAGAAAATAAATAAATTTGATCTTGAGGTATGATTAATGAACATAAACTCACAACAATATAAAAACATTCAACGTACATATTATAAAACTTTTACTTTCAAAACGTTATCAAATACAGAAAAATAAAACTAAAGTATAACTATGACACAATATATTATGTTTTCTCGTTGAAAATTGTATTATTATTACATAAAATTGTCCGTAAACATAGTTGGAAACTTGAAAAAATACTATAAAGGCATATTACAGCCTATATATGTGTATTCGAACATTATATTTTGCTACGCACACAGTGCCTATTTTGAAGTACGAGTATGCACGAAAATTAAAATTACACAAAATATTACATTATACATTTTCATTTATTTTCAGTTATAACGTTTCGTTTATGATAATTACGTATTTCATTCCCATCGGACTGATGGGTTTCACCTACGCCATGATCGGTCACGAGCTGTGGGGAAGTCAGAGCATCGGAGAATGTACACAGAGGCAGCTGGAGCACATCAAGTCCAAGAGAAGAGTGAGTTTTAAAAAAAATAAAAATAAATTTAAGCGCATAATAAGGCAAAAAATTCCCTTTGCTGTTAACGATGTAACGCGGGCGGCTGTCCAATTAAAACCGTTTTGAAAATTACATTTACATTAATAAACAAAAACAATCTAGGGAAAATTTTCCCTTCCCTTGCGGTTTATTTTTTGTTGGGATTAAAATATAATACGTATGTCGTTGAAATATATTTATAGTATAAAACAATGTTTTACTGCCAAGTTAAGAGGGATTGAAGTTTAATCCTGTCAGCTGTCGAATTTAACTCGGGTATTTCTGATTTTTTTTTCTCGTGGAATCGTTTGCGTACAATGCCCGTTAACACAACCTTTGAGCATTTCTTTGTCAAAGACATATTGTTCTGAAACCAATAAATATAATGTCGCACTACGCTCGAACGATGATTTTGATATTCGATTCATTACTTAAGGTTAGCTTGCTATTTAATACGAGCTACTCTGCAAATTGTTTTATCATTGGTCGGGGAATTATGGATAAAATGACCAAATATAACTTAACGTATTTATTTTTGTTTTATTATTATGTAAACCGCCCTCATTTGTATTTGTACAACGAATTTGATTGAACGTTTCCATTCGATACATTATTACCAAAGTGTATTGAGTTGAGCGTATTGTTTATTTTAACACCGAAAAAATTATTTGAATTGTGAATTTGTAATATTGTTTTTTTTTTTACTGATTTAAAATAAAAATTATACTATAAACGTGTATCTATTGAATATTGATACAGGATTTTTCTATTACATTGGGATTGTATTGATTTACTTAATTTGAATTTAAACATTTAAACTATTTAGATTTTAAAATTGAAATATGCATTTAAAAACAAATGTTCTGACAATTGTTTAATTGTCTTAAAAGGTTGAAGATCCAGCAGTGTATAAAATATACATAATATCAGTTACTTATCTTAATGGGTTTCTTCATAATATTACGTATTGAATAAATAATATTTAAAACCATTCATGTCTTGGAAGTTTTAAAATAAAGTTAATAATATTATATATTTATTTCTACCCGACGTATACTTATTACTTACATACTTATTTATTCCACTTAATAATAATATCTTCGAATTTCATTTTGTAACAAATGTTTTTGTACGTTTATTATATACAATCTATGCAAAAAATGTAAAGACGAAGAGTATGTTTAAGTGTCTATGTTTAAATTATTAATTAAATTATTTATTATATTATTAGTTTTTTAATTTTTAACTTTTTTAATGTTTAGGTACAATATAAATTATATTATATGCTAATTATTCAAGACAGTTCATAGTGCCTTAATATACAATAATTAATTAATAATGTTATAAATAAATTGTATTTCTTAGTTAAAACATCCAATAATAACATAAGTAATATGAAAAATTAAATTGCTAAGATAAAATTGTTTTCTTTTTTAAATTTTACTGCTGCTATGAAACCTGTATATTCATTTATTATTTAAAAATGTGATCTATAAATATAAGTTAAATCAAAAATAATAAATTATAAAAATGAAGTATTACACCAAATAGTATTCTTGTTTTAATATTGCATTAAACGTAAATTCGATAAGTTATATTATAAGTACTTACAATGATTTGACTACATAAAAATTACAAAGTCATTATGGCGTCGTTATGGACGTAATAACGATTTTAACTTCTATACATTTTCTAGATTCCATAAGCATGGAATCGGCTGTAATTATTACCAATTGTTTTAAGTAGGCAATTAAAAATAAGTAATTACTATACATTGCTCCGTGATATAAGTCGTCTACCAATCTTTTTCGATATATTTACTGCAGATAAAATGACCTCAACATAATAGGGCATATCATACAATATATGAAAAACGTAACCGGATTACTATGTACACATAAAATCGGTTTACTGGAAACGCCCATTTCTCATTTACTATTCACTTAAATCATTACAAACCTATCAATTGCATGTCGATAATAATACGACGATACTCGACTTAGAAGCTACAGACCAGAGGGCAAACTGACGCCATAATTGCGAGTAGGTAAAGAGGGAACAGATAGATATAGTGAAATTAATGGAGGCCATCCAAAACTATAAGTTTATCATCAACAAATAATTATAAAAATAATAGATTTTTTCAACTGATGTACTTTGAACTTCCATGTATAGTAAAAGGGTTTTTAATCTAAACAAAACAACTGTTTATTAGATTAAACTAAATTAAATACTTATTTGAAATATTATTTAAGCCTCTAGGTAATATAAAATTGTTACTTGCGTTCGACTTAAAATTGTTTTATAAATCAGTATAAAATGTATATATAATATGAAAAAATGTAGGCATAAATACATTGAAATGACCTATTTATAAAATTAAATCTCAATAGTTAACAATATTTTTTCGATGAAATTAAACGTTTTTGAAAAATAAATAGCCAACCAATGAACAATAAACAAAATAATAGTTCATAATTTCATATCCACCTGCAATAATTCAAGGACCCACATCGCATCATACATTCATACATAATTTGTTTATAAATTTCCTATTCATTACGCTGTGTTCTGAAACTGAATTCAGCGTGAAATCAAAACTCTATTGATTTCAATGTATGTACAGTTTTACAAATATAAAATATAAATAAAAAGTTATAAATTATATGTATTATAATTATTATCATTTGAACATCGATTTTCATTTTTAATTAGATTAAAAATTGGGAAATGTAAATAATAGAGAAATTGATTGCAATCGTCGATATGGCATAGGCGTGCAATAACAATGCAGAGTAAACAAACGTCAGACCTGTACAGAACTCAACAATGTTTTACGAACAAATGAATTCATGTATTTAATCAAAATATTATTAATTTATATAAATAGCTAAATAATACTTTTGTTATTACCTGCAATGAACATGTATTTATAATTGGTCTATCTACAATTCATAATTCATAATGATTTAAGAATTGATATTAAATATCAGATTCTATAACATACACATTTATAATTATTTATTTATGTTTTGTAAATTTCATATTAAAATATTACCTTAAGAATATAAACGTTTTGCATATTATCAACACGATCTTATTTTATCATGTGAAATATGTAACTTCACATTGAGACGACTTACGATTTTAAAATGTTGGATTACTCTTATACAAAAAACTGTTTCATAGAACACCTTATATAGTAGTTCACCGTCCATTACAACTTATTTTTTTAATAGAACTATTAATTTATAGCTATTTTTAATTTAATAATAAAAATACTTTATAGATGGTATCATTTTAATTTAATAACTTTAGCATTGTTTGATTGACATTTGACTAGTACGATTGTAGATACTTAATACTTGTACGGCAACCTTTTTTAAAAACACTCCTGAAGTTCTGAGTGGAACAAGAAATATATTGGTTTTACAATGATTTTCTAACTTATATTTTTTGTCTCTGTTATCAAGTTTTGAAGTGGAAAATGATATTTAATTTTCAAGACATCAGGTCGTTTTCAGTACTAAATTGTATCTAGTTGGTACTTGAGAATTTTCAGTATTTGTCTTTGCAATAGAAAAAAACTAACAAAGAACTACGTATAATTTAAAGTGTCCTCAGAAAAAGACACTGATCCACATGCTACCCATCTCTTGTACACAGAATCACAGAATCCTTTCTTTAAATACATTTATTTATCATTTAAATCAAATTGAACTCAATGACGAGGAGTACTCAAAACCTACTATATATCAGAGCTAGTTCCCTGGATTTTATTTTTTTGAATAAATGTAACAGCTTTCGAATGGTATATACGTATCATCATCTTCTGTCAGTGTGATAAGTTTCGTATCATGACTATACGTTAACATAAATGGTGATTTTAATTCATGTAACCTTAGCAATTAGTGACATCTATAATAACATATTATACTATGAGGTAGAACAAGAGTCAATATCCTAGATTGTTCAAACGTTCTAACTCAATATCTTATTTTGACATTTTTTCGTCCTTACAATCTCAACTATTTCAAGTTGTAAAAAAAAACGAAACACAATCAACTTCTCAAACAAAATTTCGCATAATGCGTTATACCTGTATATTACTTATATTTGTGTTATATACATATTATGTATACATAAAATCCCACATAAAACGAGTTTACGTGCAATGCACTCCAAAACTTCTCGACCGATTTTGATAAGATTATGCGCAATGTGTGTGATTTAGACTTAAAATATAGGATAGTTGTTATCTCGATCAATCGCCCTTAATTTGTTTTATTGAACATTTCGAGATTTATAATGGAAATTTTAGTTTATAAATGGCTGCTATTGATTACAGCTTACAGATTATAATACTATAATAGTAATAAGAGAAATTATTATTCATTGTCATTGGTTACTATGGTATATGAGGTATGCGCATGGCAAAATGGTCGTGTTTATGGTTTCGAATAAAGAAATCATGTCTTAAAACAAATATGAGAGTCGAATGTGTGTTTGTAGCTCGTATAGGAGATGGGAATTCAAAAACTACTAAACCGATTTTGTGAAAATTTCAAATCGTCCTTGGAGGTGGTTAGGTTAGCCTATCGAATGACGAATTGAACAGAAATTTTGAATCATAATAATATAATATAGAGTTGGTATTTTTAAAGGTGGTCAACGAAGTGCACAGGGTCAGCTAGTATTATATAAATGTGGGTGGCTCGCAGTACTCATAATATAAAATTAGTTATTCAATATAAGCTAAAATGTATGACTCACTTAAGTGTGATTTTTGTCTAAGCGAGTGAGACAATAGCAGTTGTATAATTGCGTTTTGTGATTTGACGCCAGCCACCGAGTAGTAACAGCAAGACGCATTTCGTCGTAACCATTTGATTGGCCTTTTGGTGCATATGTCTGGTGTATTGTGCAGCATGTTTATTATTGTGAAATGTGAATGTTTCAACCATATACTACGGGAAAAC